CAGACTACATTTTTATGGATGACAATGCCCGGCCACACCGTACTGCTAATGTTCAAGAGCTACAGGAAAGTGAAGATATCGCACGAATGGATTGGCCAGCTTACTTTCCAGACCTAAACCCCATAGAGCATGTGTGGGATGCATTAGGGAGACGTCTTGCGACACGACAGTATCCTCCTGGTAACACCCATCAGCTGAAAGATATGTTAAAGGAGGAATGGAGACGTTTACCCCAAGAACTCCTGGATAATCTGGTGCTTAGCATGGAGAGACGATGACAAGCAACAATTACAGTAAGGGGAGGGCATATCCCATACTAGGGAGCATCTGCCAGTTGTACTTACGCTTCTTCAGGCAATCATGTGTAACGCCACTATATGTCAAATAAAGAACATCAAATAAAGAACATCAAATAAACAAGTGTGAATAACTCAGTGAGTGTTTGTGTTGTTAAATGTTAGTATGATATCAGAAGTGTAGAAGTGTGCAACTGGTCGAATTTTTGCATCCTCTTTGAGATTTATGCAGTCGAAAATATCATTAAAATTTGCGGTATAGCAGGTGGCGGCTTTAATAAAGAAGTTTCTGTTTAATTTGTTGAAATGATGGTCAAAGCGGTCAATGTTAAGATCTCTATGAATGGCGTTGTTGCGGATTAACCATCTGGCTCCCGTGAGTTTTCTCAAGATGTTGTTTTGGAGTACGATAAGTTTTTTGAGGTCTTTTTAGGAGGCGTTACACCAGGCAGGTGTGGCGTACTTCATGATATAACTTAACAATTATATAGTGGCGAATCATATAAGCCTTCAATTTATTTAGAAATAGTGGTGGATAAAAACCAAATATAGCGAATTTATTATTGTCCGGAGCTAGTTGGCATTTCTGAAGAAGTGAATATTGTTTATCATTAGACAATTATTTTGCAAAAGTTTTATATTCAAGTGTAAGTACAACCTACATTATTTCTAATTCTAAAAAGTCACCAAATTTGGCGATTAAAAGTGCTATTTGGCAAAACCATTTGCAAATTATGTAAATAGACTGCTGTAACTGTGATACTATCACTTAAAAAACAACTTTGCCTAATGTATAGTATTATTTTAGAGTGTAAAATGATATACCTATTTCTGAAAATGACTTTTGAATGTTGAGAGGCAAAAATGCTTTCTTTTTTTCTTAGGTTATTTTATCTTTTCCAACTTTGTGAAAATGCTGACGCAATTTCAAAAGGTTAAGCTGAGGAAAAATATTTTAATTTTTTTTTCTGCAGCTGTCATGATCTGTGGCAAATATCAATGTAAGTAAACACATGACAATGGTCGTGTATTTAATCACTTCTCTGATTGGTATCTGGACTCACGTTTTTCTTTCACCTACAGGGGGAGATGTATTAATTTTTCAATAATATTGTTTCAACTGACATACTTAATAGCAATCACAGAATGTATTAAATTATAACATTTGTATAAATTCTGTTGTTTCTGAACGTATTTTCATTCCTTAAGCTTTTGATGATACCGAGCATGCATCTTTTAAAATTTCTGACGTCTTTGATTTTAGCTATGTTTCTAGCACTTACTTTATCCACGTGTAAGTACCCAAAATTAGGTTTTTTTTCTTTGTACAAATCATAATTATGTTGCTTAAAAGAATGTATAAAACTGAATTATTTCCTCTTTAACAAGTGTTGAGCTTGTTAGTTATGATCAAAATAAAAAAAAATAGAGCCAATTCTAAGATGTTAATCGTTTGTCAAATTAAAAAAAAACTTAAAGTAAGCGAGATAAAAAAAAGACATTCAATTCTTGACTGTTCAGAGTTTTGTAAAAGAGTAAAATTACTTCTCATTTGTTCCCTCGTATTAAGCGATTTTGTATACGGTAGGTTAATTTGTTTTCAAACAGATGATTATTTTTCGAATCAAGGTAATCAATGCTTGCGTCACGATTAACATATAGTCTAGTAATTACAGCAAAGAGAAAGTGCTTCTTGGGAAAAATTAGTACCCAAGAAATTTGCTGACAAGAAGCTTTGTTATTATGAATGATATCTGAAAACTCCCTTCATCTCCTTCGGACGCACTTCTGTCTTTTTTTTTCAGGGAAAAAGAGTGATTTAAAAGGGTTAATTGAACTTCTTTTACCGAGTCAAATTTAGCATGTTTTCCAATGTATAGTTTTAAGCTGAATCTCGAAACAATCGGACTAAAAGTTTAGAAGTTATAAGCGTTTTATGTATCTTGTACTTGCCTATTTACGCATTTCACAAAACTGCACAGACAGCTGAGGTATTTTCTGTGTACTTTTTCTCCTTTAATCGAATGAGACCAGTTGCACAAAGACAATATTTGGATTGTTTTCACTATTAAGATAATCTTATATCTTCTGAACTATTGGTTCAACCATTTCGAAATTAGTCGCATTACATGTGAAAAATTACATCGGAAAAAAATATCTTACTTACGCTGATAATTCCAGGATAGCAGGAAACCATAATTATGTGTCGAAAGCAGAAGCTATTGATCACATTAAAACTCTTGCAACTTTTGAACTATTTGTTCGATTGACTTGTGTATAGCCTCATTCAATTTAACGTTCTTACTTGTTTAAGTAACGATATGAGTTGTGTACTAGCATAATTTCGTATTGCAAGCGTTCACAACTTCTAAACTATAGATCCGATCGTCTTGAATCTCATTCAATTTAACGTTCTTACTTGTTTAGGTATCGATATGAGTTGTGTACTTACAGGGATGAGATTAACCAAAAGGCAAAAAAGCTGAATTTCCACGATAGTAAATTTTACACAAGCGCAACCCTTTAATAATAAATTGCAGACAGTTTAAGGTAATAAAAAATGTGTTGACATACAATTGTGTACTAATCTATTATTATATANCCGAAGTAGACAGTGGACATTTTTAAAAAAGGTGTTGCAAGGAAACTTAAAATTTAAATAATGAAATATTCCCCATGAAAATTTAAGTTATAAATATGCCAAAGCAATAATGATAGTAATATTCTCGTCATCTCATAGGAATTGATTTAAGAAGGGAATTTTACTCAAACAATTTTTGTTGTTGTTTTCGATAAAAAGTAAGTTTTTCTTTTATCATCTTATATTATGATCTTATAATTATTTATCTTATGATCGACTTTCAATTTTTTTAAAATTATGACTTAAAATATAAATTATGAAGTATTTTCATTATGAATATGTCAAAGCAACAATAATATGCAATATACTTATTACACCTCCTTCAAACTGATTAAAAAAGCGAATTTTGCCAATTTTTTTTCATATAAGAAGTTCCACTTATTATAGTGATCTTAAAGTTTGATATTATATTAGAATTTAAATTTAAAATTTAAATTATGACTGAAAGTATAAAGTAATATTCCCATCATGAATATGCCTGGTTTATTACACCTACTAAAGACTGATTAAAAAATAATTTCACCTCAATTAAAATTTTGCCTTTTTAAGATATAAAAAGTTTGACTTACTATCGTATGATATGATCTTAGGTATTGATATCATGACCAAATTTAAATTCAAAATTTTAATTATGACTTAAAAATATTAAATTGTGAAATATTTCTATTAGGAACATGTCAAAACAATAATATTATGTAGTATCCTGGTTTATTAAACCTCCTAGAAAATGATTAAAAAAGAGAATATCATATCATTGGTTTAATTACTTATTTATTTATTTTGCTTTTGATATAAAAGGAACCTCCTATTATCTTAGGATATAATCTTTGGATATGATGTTAGGTTTTGAACTCATGATCGAATTTTCCCGTACTCGAATGTAATCTAAAGATTTTCAATTATAAATTAATTAATCTTAATAATCTTAATATTTATTACTTAAGATTATAAAAATTTAATAATCTTAAGACTTTTATTCAAGACCTTGAGGAAAATACATTTGAGTCTGACTTGGAAATAAAAAAAAGTAACTGTTATCACCCGATTGCACTGTGGGCCAGAAGACTATGATCTTTGGCCTATAGTTAAAAATTAAATTTTTAACTAAAATATGTGTAGGCAGTTTTAATATAGCCCAAATTAAGTATTCATAATCATTCCAAACATTATAATTTACTTTTTGGACAGAAAAGAGTACAATGTAATGAAAAATATGTAAAAAATTTTTTTTTTAATGTAACTTTTAAATTTTTATTTTAGAAATATATATAGGAATTTCACCTTTCTGTTACATTTTTATCAGAGTAATTAGTCTGAAATTATAGTAAAATTTTTCAATTTGTTGGATTAGTTAATACTCTTAACAAACTTATAGTTTATATCTTATCATTCGACATTTTACAACGTTTGAATGACTTTCGAAACTTAGTTCCGAAAAGTTCCAAGCGGTAATTAGCTAAATATTTTTCTGTTGTCTTCTTTGATGTTTGCCCCATTTTGCCCGTATTGCAAAGGTGGACTAAATATACCGAAAAACAAAAATTTTGTTTCTTTTCATGTTTTCGCGTTATTTTGTAATATTACTTCGGAAATTTAATTTACTTTTCATTTTTAATATAAAATTACGAAAATTATTTTAGTGTCATGGCTATATTTAATTATTTAAACGTACTATATTATTTTTTTAAATTTTTGCTCGCCATATTTCAGTCGCCATCTTGTTTTTTGGGGGTAATTTTAGTGTATTTCAAAATTTCAACAATGAATTCAATTTACCTGCACATAAAAACCCCTAAATAAAACCCCCCAAATTTTGAAGCAAATTTTATCGAAATACTAATTTTGGCCACGAAACCTTGGATGCTGGCCCACTGTGGATTGCTTCAAAAATGCAGCCATTGGATAGAATTGTCAAAAAAGAGCACCTAAAAGTACTCAAGGACGAAAAGATTATTCCTGTGAGATTACGATGCATTCTTAGAACTACCACTAAACTAGTTGCTATCAATCACAAATGTAAAAGAGCTTAGTTTAAAGATAAATAAATGAATCAATCCACTTACTTGAAAGGTAGTCAGTTAGACCGGCATCGAGGAGCAACCTGTACAACCGTTTGTGTGATGTACTCAAGTACGATACTGTATCTCCGGTTGGAATAGGATGAAGTGGACGATCCACTATGTGTACTCTACCCAATTCATACTGTAAATCACTCTCCACTATCTGCGCTCCAGAAACTGTAATTAACTGAAACAGTAACAAAACAACTCACTATTAATTTCACAGAGCTTTTACTGTTTTTATTTACTAATTTTAAGTGTTATTAAGTATAAGAAAAACTGTTTAAAGTGAAAAAATACACGGTTTATGTATTTCTGCACAAACTAAAATGTAATACTTATAATTGTAATGGCATTAATATATATGTTACAGGAAAGACCGAAATGAGTGAAGTTCGACATTCGACATGAAGTTCGACATTGAATATTAACACTAACGTAGCCATTTTAAACATTCTTCATAGGCATTCTAAAGTGAATTTTTAATATTCACGTAGTTGGTTTATTTAGAGTATTCTAGCTAAATCGAAGAGAATCCTTGGCAGAAATAACAAGACATATTTTACAATACAACTTGTTTTGAAAAGTTTATTTTGATCAGTAAAATGACGCAAATCTTTATCAGATAATCTAAGACCGAATGGAGTGAATATCGATATTCTCCAGCGTATGCTGACATTCGCATAGTCAATATGGCAACATTCTGCAGTGAATAATTACATTAAATAGTTAACTTATTAAGAATATTCTTACTAAATCAAAGAGAATCCTAGGCAGTAAATAAAAAGACATTTACAAGATAGAAAATTATCACCAAATGGTTGATTTGATCCAGTTTCCCAAAGTGTGGTAAGCGTACCCCCAGGGGTACGGGAACAGTTTAGTGGGTGTACGCGTTCTTGTGTGAAATATCTTGAAACAAACGAAAAGTTTAAAATTTTTTATTTAAAAACAAAGCTAGCCATGAAAATTTACGAATATGTATTTCTCTATTGGCTATTTTTTGCAGAGTTAACAGTTAATAATTAGTGGTGTCAACAGCTGGTTGTGATTTTTAACTTTTGTGCAATTTTTTTATAGCAAAAAATACATTCATTTTTTATTAGGATACACAGCTTTACGAAAAATTTAGAAAGGTTACACAAAAGTCATAAGTTTGAAAAACACTTGTTTAATTAAAAAAATAAGTAAATAAATAAAGAAATATTTAGCAGGAAGTCCGCGTTAATTGAATAAAACTGCTCAGAGTCTAAGACTAATGGTGTCATCTTTTTCATACAAAAAGCAAGACGCTCTTAGGAAGCAATTTAAATAAAAATAGAGTGAATGACATGGTATATCAGCAGGAAAAAAAGTACTAAATTCGAATGAGGTTGATGTTTCACCTGTCCATAGATGTTGAATCGGAGGGGTGCTCCTTGTACTGAGTCAACGAGGAGTTCGTTGACGATTTGTGAGGAGGGGAGATCTCCACTAACGAAATGGTAGAGAATGAAGTCCCTCAACTGCTGAGGATTCCTCTTCAAGTTCTCCAATGTACCCCCGGGCAAGAAGAAGAAAGAAGAATCAGTTGGAACAAATAGCGTCCAGTAGCCTGTCAAGAAGGAAAGGAACAGTTTTGTATTTATCACATTTATTTCATTGATGTGAAGACGGAATTTGAGATATAAAACGTCTGCCTTCACCATTTAGAATTTTAGGTTCAAATATTCGATTTTTTTCTTCTTCTTCTTAACAAACATTAGATGATATCGCATTATTCGACAGCTTAATAACGTTTAAATAGGGTGAGAAAAAAGCTTCGCTTAATTAGAGTAAGAAAAATGGCTCTTGTTAATTTTTAGAACTTATATGGAATCTTCCTCAAGCCTTTAAAGCAGTGTTTCCCAACTAGGGGCCCACGCCCCACTGGGGGGCAATTTGATTGTTAAGGGGGGCAATTCGAAAATGGACTCGACACGAGTTTAACCCTTTTGCTCCGGGCCATTTAAATGCAATGCTAGACTTGGGTGCTAAAATTGAAGGAAAATAGCAAATTCTAAAATAATTGCGGCCAATAAATATGTGACTTAGCGATTTTTAAGCGACAAACCTGAAATGAAGTATCTGTTAACAGTCGATGGTAAAGCATTTGTAAGTTATTTAGCCGATATCTTTGAAAAACTAAATATATTAAATAAGCAACTTCAAGCAACAAATGAAACTCTTGTTGATGCAAAAGCGAAGATATTTGATTTCATTACCNTTTCAAAATTTCAATTATGAATTCAATTTACCTGTACATAAAAAACCCCAAATTTTGAAACAAGTTTTATCGAAATACTAATTTTGGCCACGAAACCATGGATGCTGGCCCACTATGGATTGTGAAGCTGACTATGATTGTTAAAACTAAAAAAATAAGATGTGGAAGCGTCCCGAGGTATAACACTCAATCCTTATGTATTTTTTAAAAATTCATTGTTAAACACATAACTTTTAACAGGTACTTTTTTCATTATTTGAAACAAGTACATCCAATACAATTAAAAATAATTTTAAGTTATACTATACAAAATGCTAATCTGTTATTTCTAAGCTATAAAAAATCATATCAAGAAGATGTTGATCAAAGCTGCCGAGATTGAATTGAGATTTTCATTAAAGATAAAAATGCGGGAGCATTTTATTACCAGATTTAAACTATCTTTTAAAAGCATGTACTACAGCATGTACAATCCTGATATATTTCTATTCCCCATAAAAAATATTAGCGCGTTTATAGTTTTTGATAATTTAAATAATTAATGTTGTTACTTAGCATTTTTCGTTAAACACACCACCAACTCGTTAAGAAATAATTTTTAAAAAAATATTTTTAAATTATCTGAATCGGAAACTATATCAATAACTTACACTAAATATTTAAATAAATTGTATGAAAATTGCAGACGTTATCGGAACCATCTTTTGCTAGTGTTTTTAGCAGAAGTTATGCCATACGCACGTTATACTTTCATTATCAATTTTAAATGTAGCTCAGAATATACACCGAAGAGCCATTACATTATGACCACCCTCCATCTATAACAATGGGCTCACCCAGGTTTTCATGGCGCACATTACGACCCATAATCCTCATAGAACAATCCCTGACGTCTGTAAGCTACTTGAACATAGTTGCTGACCAGGTTCACCCATTCATGGCAACAGTTTTTCCTGCGGGGGATGGTGTTTACCAACAGGATAATGCACCATGTCATAAGGATAATCGTCGAGGAACATTCCAGTGACTTTCAAGTCATGTCTTGGCCCCCACATTCGCCTGATCTTAATCCAGTAGAGCATTTGTGGTCCTACTTGGAAAACCAAATTCGTGCTGCCACGCTACCCCCTCGCAATGTGAGGGAATTGCAGGACCAGTTGGTGAGCGCTTAGTACCAGATACCTCAGATTACCTATCAGCACCTTGCGGAATCAATGCCACGGCGGATACTAGCAGTTTTGAGGGCTAAAGGTGGTCCTACATGTTATTAGCAGGGTGGTCATAATGTAATGGCTCTTCGGCGTATATAATAAAATAAGAATGATTATAGAGAAACGTCTCAGAAGTGACCACTCTCTGTTTCACAGAAAAATGATAGTTAATGGAGGTTGATCATTCTTAAAGGTTACCCAAATTGACTTCAAAATGCTATCGAATTGATTTTTCGCCAGAGATTTTAATTTTACCCAGTGTCATTTTCTTTAAGCGGAAATGCCACTTGTGTTGGCGTTTTGAAAACTGGATCGATGAATAAAATTTAGCGTCAATTAAAATGATCCCTTTTGATATAATTATGTATAAAAATAAATTTACCAATTAAGAATGATGGAACCATTTTCAATAAATAAACAATTGCGTTTTTTGCTTAAGGTTGTAATTAAATTTACGCCATAAGGATTAGTTAGCTTTAAAAAATAAGAAGAGGTTTGTTTAAGATTCTTAGCTTTTCTTAAAATAATTTTTTTGAAAAAAAATTCCACTTTCAGCACTAAAAAATAATTTAATCATTGATAACATCGTCTTTAGTGCACTGACCGTTACATGAGTTTGTAGATATCTTTCAGGGATCGTCACAAAAAGAGCTCTCTAAATTAGCGCCACTCACGAAGATTTTTGAATACATTTAAATCAACTAATTTTGCTAATATTTTTTCTTTTGATATTTTTTTCGTGTTTCTTAAACCTTTTCCTCATTTGATGCGGGGGTTCGCTCGGTTGCTGGGAGAGATTTTGATGGTCTCTTTTAAAAGATTTTCTTCCACATGAAATCAGTGGAAAAAATTCCGTGCCTCCCAAAAATTGGTCGTAAATAGAGGAGGTCGTTACACAGAGGTGGTTTTCCTTGGAGGTTCCACTGTATATGTTTAGTTTATAATCAGATTAAGTTTATACAAAAGGATGAAAAGTAGACATCTATGTCAATTTGAAGTTGCCTTGTTAACTGAAATATGATATTTGATTATTTTGATATGTTGATGTACTGTAGTGATGAAGTAAGAAGACGCAAATTGATTTTGTCGTAAGAAGAAGCTAATCATTAATGTTGGTGGGGTAAAGGGATAAAGCAAAGCTGATCTTCCACTGAGATGATGAAGCTTTGTGATGATGGTGTGTAGCATGCAAAATTAAAAAAAAAAAGAAACATTTTAACTATTAATCCGAAGATGGTATTCTTACTTCTAATAATAAATTTGTGATTTGAATTTCTAAATTGCGAAATCAGACACAAAAACGTTCTTTTTCTGAATAAACATACCTTTTTTGCAACGGATTCTGATTCTTGACCATCAAAATCTAAGAATCATGGTCCCTAAAGTATAGGCAAAAGAGAGGTCGGAAGTTGAGTGCCTTAATGTTATTTTCAATTTTTGTTTATTTCGTCATATCTTTGAAATTATTTAAACTGATCAAAGAATTTCTGTTTACAAATATAAATTTTCTTAATCGGAAGATACCTCCACGTAAAATATAATTTTTCTAGTTATTTATTACTTAATTTACTTTTCAAAAGAAAATATTTGAATTGTAAAGAACACAGACTTAAATAATTTTCATCTGTGAAATTTTGAATGACAAATGCAAATTTTGAACGGGCTTGGTTAAGTAGTTCTGGTTTTCAAATTGTTTACTTTAAGTTCTTATAAATCTGTATTTATGCAATCAACCCATCTATGCCTGAGCCTGTTTCCTACTTCTTGTCGGTTTAAAATAAAAGATTCTGGATGTTAAGGAGGATAGTTCCATCAGGCAAATCTGTCTAGCAGATTTGTATTTTAATATAAACCGAATAATGATGTGGTTTAATATGATGCTGTTTACTTTATTAATATAAACCCATTAAAGTTAAAATTATCAACCCTCTTGAATATGTAGGCATCGAAAACAACTTGACTGTAGGGAACTTACGGAAAAAAGACAGTATCGAGGCAGAGCTGAGGTCAACTGCGTTGCAAATGATCTGCGAAAAATACCCGGGAGGCGACTGGCTACATGTACTAAAATACATGTTTTTTAGTATATACCGACGGATCTCAGATATAAGATAGATCTGGAGCTGGTGTTTTTTGTAAACTATTTTCCCAAAGCTCCCCCGTGGGTCACTATATGACCAATTTCGATGCAGAGATCCAAGCAATTTATCTAGCATTACAGAACTTAAAAACAAGAGCTTATGAGTTCCTGAGGGTGGTTCTATTGGTAGACTCCATTTCTGCTATTCAAGCAATCACAGAAAACCAATTTTTTAAACTAAGCAGTTAAAAGAAATCCAGCTCGATATAAACCTCCTCAAGGAAATGAATAAAACTATAGTTATACAGTGGATCCCTTCACATATTGGTATCGAAGGCAATGAGAACGCACATTATCTGGCAAAAGACGGAACAACTATGCTCCAAGAAATAACAACCGTCACACCTGATACTCTTAAAAAATACGTTATGAGAAAACTCAACGAAATAAATAATTATGATTTAACTATAAAATCAAAAGGCAAAATATGGGAAAATATTCAAGACAATTGGAAATTTCTCTGTTACCAACCCCGTAAGGAAGCAGTAACCCATTTTAGGCTTAAAACAGGCCACGATTGCTTATCAGAACATTTATATAACATAAAAATTCTTCCCAGCAAAGCATGCCCAATTTGTGACACAGGTATATTAAACTCTGATCACCTCTTATTGTGTAAGGGACTAGATAGGAACTCCCAGAAAAGTGGGAATGTCACTAAATTGTATTGGGACGCAAGAACTCTTATGGATTGTCACGAACTTTACTTTTTTCATGTTAATGTTTAAAGTTTTATATTGTTGAAATGTTTATTGATTCAAATGTTTATTGTTCTTTTTTGTTCACTTTACCTAAATTTTTGAAATGTTTCTTTGTTATTTTTCTGCTCCTTTGTGATGCAGTGAGCTGTCAAATTTTCTGGATTGAATTCTTAATGAAGCCATATGAAACACTTTATTATGAATTCAGTAAACTGATGTGGGACTATTTCATTGATTTTCCTCGAATTTTGAAATTTGTCATTTAAATTCACAAGGTTTAAAATAATTTTTTTTTCA